ACCTGGGGCCCCTCAGCAGCGGCTGAAGGAGTGATTGACAGGGTGGGTCCTGGATTAGATGGCAGAACCGCCCAGAGAGGTTCCCCAGAGGAAACTAGCTGGGCAGAAATGGGAAATGTGTGTCTTTCTTCTTGGAGAGGATGAGGGTGTCGCTGTCCTTGATACCATAGCTCCCCAAAACGGACCAGTCCTGCAGGACCTGGCCTAGGAACTGCAGCTCCTGCTGCTTTCTGAGCAGCCCCTGCTTGTCTTCTATCTGCTGCTTCAGGCCCAGCACCAAGCTGTTGGGGTCGACGGCATAGGCGTGGCTCCCACCTTCCGGATTCCTCACAAAGACCTGGATCTCCGGGGGGATGGTCTCCAGCAGGCAGATGCGCGTGTCGGAGAATATCCCGAACTCGGCCAGGGAGCTGCGGCTGCGGAGGAGCTTCCGCTCGCCGCTGGGAGTCTGGAAGGACAGACGCTGCAGGCCCTCGCAGGACTGTCTCCGCTGGATCTTCTCCTTGACCTTCTTTATGGAGCTGTAAGGGTTCACCATGAGGGTCCAATCTGGGCAGCCCCACTGCTCCACGGTCACCTGGATGTCCCGTGCCCTCTGCAAGAGAGACGCGAGGGGCTGAGTCACCACATTCCTCTGTTTGGCATGCCAGTGTTCCCCTTCCCTGTCCTTATCTTTCCAACAGCAGCAGCAGCAAACATTCAGGGGGTGCCAGCCACCTTCCAGGTCCCATGCTGGGTGCCTTTTAGTCTCTTCTTAATGCATTTATTCTCACAGCAGCCCTAGGAGGGGTTGGTTCTCCTATTATCCCATTTTACAGATAAGGAAATGGTGGTCAAGAAAGGTGAAGTGGTCCAGTTAGTGTGGCTCAGTGGTTGAGCATTGACCCATGAACCAGGTCAGGGTTCAATTGCCAGTCAGGGCATGTGCCCGGGTTGCAGGCTCAATCCCCAGTAGGGGCGTGCAGGAGGCAGCCAATCAATGATTCTCTCTCATCATTGATGTTTCTATCTCTCTCTCCCTCTTCCTTCCTCTCTGAAATCAATAAAAAATATATATCCTATATAATAAAAGGCTAATATGCAAATAGACCGAACGGTGGAACACCTGAATGGTGGAATACCCGAACAACCAGTCACTATGATGTGTGCTGACCACCAGGGGGCACGCGCGGGGTTGCCGGTAGACAGGGGACTAGGGGCCATGGTGGGAGGGGCTGGGTGGGGATGTGGAGGATGGGCCAAGACCCGCCCTGTGCCCACCACAGCCTTGTGGCCTACAGTTTCTTTCAAGGTGCACAAATTTGTGTGCTGGGCCCCTAGTGTGTGTGTGTGTGTGTGTGTGTGTGTGTGTGTCCTATATAATAAAAGGCTAATATGCAAATTGACCAAACAGTGGAACAACCGGTCATTATGACGTGCACTGACCACCAGGGGGCAGATGCTCAATGCAGGAGCTGCCCCCTGGTGGTCAGTGTGCTCCAACAGGGGGAGCGCAGCTCAGCCAGAAGCCCTGAACCAGGCTCATGGCTGGTGAGCACAGCGGCAGTAGCGGGAGCCTCTCCCACCCCATGGCAGTACTAAGGATGTCTGACTGGCCCACGGGGAGTGGGCCTAAGATGTCAGCTGGGCTCTCAGATTGTGAGAGAGAGCAGGCAGGGCTGAGGGACTTCCCTCCCCCCCCACCCCGTGCACAAATTTCGTGCACCAGGCCTCTAGTGTATATATGTATATATATGCCTAAGCGACCATTCAACCAGTAGCTATGATGCGCACTGACCCCCAGGGGACAGATGCTCAACACACAGGCATGGAAGCATAGAACAGACTGATGAATATCAGGGGGAAGGGGAGGGCGGGAAGAGATTAACCATATATCTTATATACATACTAGAGGCCCGGTGCACTGATTCGTGCACTGGTGGGGTCCCTCAGCCTGGCCTATGGGGATGGGGCCGAAATCAGCAGTCCGAGATCCCCCGAGGGGTCCCGGATTGCGAGAGGGCCTTTGCCTGTACTGTAGATTTGGCATCATGTAATATTACCTGTTATTTAGCATTTTTTTGTTTGTTTGTTTTCTAAGTATCTTCTCTGGTAATTCTTTCTAGCAATTCCACTCCCCCTCCACCCCCAGAATTTGGAGCAAGGAAAGGTTTACTGATCGAGAAGGCCTAGTTCGAGAACATGAGAGAACTAATTCTCCAATCCATTTTATTTATTTACTTATTTATTTACTAGAGGCCCGGTGCACAAAAATTTGTGCACTCGGGGGGGAGGGGGAGGTCCCTCAGCCCGGCCTGTGCCCTCTCGCAGTCTGGGACCCCTTGGGAGATAACGACCTGCTGGCTTAGGCCTGCTCCCGGGTGGCAGAGGGCAGGCCCAATCCCTAGGTGCAGCCCCTGATCAGGCTCAGAGCAGGGAAGATTGGGGAGTTGGGGCGTCGCCCCCTGTCATGCACAGAGCAGGGTGGATCGGGAGGTTGCGATGCCACTCTCAGTCACACTCAGGGTAGGGCCGATTGGGGGGTTGGGGCGCCTTCCCCTGTCACGAACAGAGCAGGGCAGATAGGGAGGTTGTGGCTCCGCCCCCTGTCACACACAGAGCCGCAGGGCGATCAAGGGGTTTGGGCGCTGCCCCCTGTCACACTGATCCTGGTGCTGGGAGGCCTCGCAGCTCCGCTGATCCCGGTGCTGGGAGGCATATTACCCTTTTACTATATAGGATAGAGGCCTGGTGCACAGGTGGGGGCTGGCTGGTTTGCCCTGAAGGGTGTCCTGGATCAGGGTGGGGGTCACCCTGGCCAGCCTGGGTGAGGGGCTGAGGGCTGTTTTCAGGCTGGCGGGTGACTGAAGCTCCCAACCACTCCTTTTTTTCTTTTCTTTTTTTTATTCCGGGCCAGCTTTAGCTCTGAGGCTTGGCTCCAGCTCTTAGGCCTCTGCTGCTGAAAGCAGGTATCTGGTTTGTTTGGGTTCTATAATCGAAACACTGTTTCAACTCCAGCTCTGAGATCCTGGCTGGCTGAAAGCAGGTTTCTGGGGTTTTGTTTAGCTTCTATATTTGTAACAATGTTTCAAACTGCAAGCTCAGAGGCCAGCAGCGGCAGGCGGGGAACGTTGGAGTCCTCCGTCACTGAAGCAAGCAAGCCTCATGTTCACCTCGAGCTGCCTGGCTGCCGGCCGCCATCTTGGCTGGCAGTTAATCTGCATATCGCCCTGATTAGCCAATGGGAAGGGTAGCAGAGGTGTGGCTAATTACCATGTTTCTCTTTTATTAGATAGGATGTAAAATATATTTTTATTGATTTTAGAGAGGAAGGGAGAAGGGGAGAGAGATAGAAACATAAATGGTGAGAGAGAATCATTGATCAGCTGCCTCCTGTACCTCAACCACTGAGCCACACTGGCCAGGCTCCAATCCGTTTTAAGACAACTCAAAATTCAGGTGTCCTTCAGCAGTTTGTACAAGTTTGTTTCAGAGATTGTTGCCCCCACCCCCCCACACTTGCCCCAAGCCCAGTGTTGGCACAAAACAACTGGCTGATTGGACTTGCCTGGGCTCAGTTCGTGCAAGGAATGATTGGGAGCACAGAGCTGATTCTCAGGAAGGTCTGGGAAGAAGGAAGGAAAGCAGAACAAGGATTTGAAGGTAAGAAATCTGAGGCTCAGCGAGCTGAGTAATTTCCCCGAGTTCTCAGAGCTGGTGGGTCATGCAGCCAGGCCTCACACTGTCTGACTCCAATGCCCCATTGGCTCCATTGACACAGAAATAAGTAGGTAAATGCTATGCATGGATCTCATTCTGGGCTTCAAGCCCCTGGCAGCAGCCCAGAGGGAGCCTTTACCTTCACATTCCAGCTGGGGACTGGGTTGTCCTTGCTGTCATAGCAACAGTCCTGCTTCAGGCACTGGCAGGCCCTCTGAGCCACTATGTCCCATCTGCACCCTTCCGCCACGTTGTAGGTGGGGTCAGCTGGATCCAGGATGATGGGCCTGCAACACAGGGAGAGGGTCCCAGGCTCTTTCTGGCCAGAAAGCAGCCTTCTCAGGCATCACCTCTTCAAGGCCTGAGCCTTTGTGTGTCCAGAGCCCCAGCCCTCAGTCCACGAGGGCTCAGAGACATTGCTGGAGAGTCACAGGACAGAGACCATTAGATTTCCAAGAATTCCTCTTGGGGAGAATTCTCTAGATGTTTGTAAAAAATTTTGCCTGGCGGGCGTGGCTCAGTGGTTTAGTGTTGACCTATGAACCAGGTGGTCACAGTTTGATTCCTGGTTGGGGCACATGCCAGGGTTGTGGGCTTGATCCCCAGTAGGGGATGTGTGGGAGGTAGCCCATCAACGAGTCTCTCTCATTACTGATGTTTCTATCTCGCTCCCTCTCCCTTCCTCTCTGAAATCAATAAAAAAAATTTTAAAAGAAATTTTGATGATGATGATGTGTGTATGTGGGGGCCGGGGAGAGAGTGAGATGCCAAAGCAATATCAGATGCCCACTCAGGTAGGTGGACCTCTTAAGTTCAAAGGCTTTGTTTTGCTGACAGGCTACATAAGTTGGAGGCTAGAGCTGCTGAATCATTTTAAATAATAACTCCCTCTCCCCCAACTACTGATACTTGGGGTACTGGGCCAAACCCTATGTGAATTTCCCTCTTTTCATGCTTACAGTTCCATAGGTGGGGACTAGTATTGCTGTTGTTCTCCCCATTTTACAGATGAGGAAACCGAGGCACATAGACCTCCCTAAGTTCTCACAACCAGCAGGTGGGATTCCTCCTCAAAAGAGGAGAGGTTGGGTTGCCTCTAAGTGTCTCTCCTCTACATAAATGCTGAATGAATAGTTTAAGGAATACAAGCTTGAAGGGGCTTAGGGTTAGGGTTAGGGTTAGTTTCCTTGGGTTGCTTGCGTAACAACATGTGTTGGATGCCACGCCCATGATAAGAGCTGGCCTTGTTCCAGGGGCTTTCAACGTAGGAGGGAGCCGTGACTTTACATGACAGAAGGTGATAGCAGGCCATTGGAGTGAACTGAACATTTTCGGCCCCAAGCTTGTTACTCCCAACATCCTTGGCTCCCTGAAATCATCCTGTAGAAGCCAGGCTGCCTGATGGGGTGGGGTCACCTGACCCAAAGTGCCCCATCTGGGGACCCGATACACAGGGCTGACGCCTAGTGATCAGACTGGTTCTCTCTGGAGTTTGGACCAGGGATGATGGAGGTCCCTCAGCAGGTAAGAGGGAAGCAGGGCAGGTGTGGGGAGGGAAGCAGAGGCCGAGAGGAAAGAGAGGGTGGGCGGTGAGACAGTGTGTCAGGGAGAGAGGGATCTAAAGGTTTGTCAGGTCCTGATGGTTTTCCAACCTCAATTTTCTGGGTTCCTTATAATCAATCCTCTTTTCTTAAGGAGACCAGGCTTGTCTTCCTTGTTTTTTTTTTAAAAAAAAAAGACCCATCACTCACGTAAAAGAGCAATGACCAGTCTTGTGATATTGCTTGCGTTGACTTAGACCTCCTGCTATGAAGAATTGTCTCAGGCTGGGTTCTCCCAGCAGCAGGTTCCCAAGGGAAGGATTTGAGTGCAAGAGTTTATTCAGAAGGAGATCCAGGATCACCAATGAGGGCGTGGGGAGTGAGAAGGACAGGAAGGGTGCCCGTCAGGGTGATCATCTGGGTGATTGCTGCAGTGGAGGCTGGAAGTTAGTCTCCCGGGAGGGACGCTGGGATTAGCAGTGTAGCAGGCGAGACCCAGAGTGAGTCCTTCCATCAGAGAGGGGAGGGAGCTGGGGTATTTAGCCACCAACTGCCACCAGGCAAAGGGACGCAGGTGCTGCCGTTGAGGGCTGAGCCAGCTTTCGTGGAAATAGAAAAAGCCCAAGGGCTGCGGATGGGCCCCAGCAGCATGTGCCACCGTAGGCATCGACCACGGAGGCCTTCGCAGATATTCTCTCTGACCCTCACAACAGCCCCGCGTTGGTGGTGCGGTGGCTCCTGTTTTACGGAGAAGGAACTGAGGCAGAGCTGGGAGTAAACCCGGGTCTCCATGATTCTTTCCACTTTCTCACGCTCTCTTTAAAAAACACTGACATGCTCTTCTGAGGGCAAGTGGGCTAAGATAGGAGGGAGCGGTGGCTTGAGGGCCAAGGAAAAGGCGTGTAGCTGCTAAGGCCCCTGGTGATTTTGGAAGGTGGCCACAGTCAGTTCAAGGTTTCATTGCAGCCTTGTTACTTAACACAGCCCCCTCCCCAAAAGAGACCCCCACTAGCACCCTCCCTCGGTTCTCTTGCTTCCCTCTCGGACATGTGTTTAGAAGCAGGGGCCCAGTACCTCTGTCTTTGGAGCTGTTTTCTGACAACGTCCTCAATGATCGGGTTCTGGAACGTGTAGTACTTGGTCCAGTAGATACAAAGGGACTCATACTCCTGGAGGAGTTCCATCACAGTGGTGAGGCCTTCGTCCAACCTGAAGCTCTCATTCTCCTGCGTGCCCATTTCCCAGGCGTAGATGGTCAGCAGCTCCAGGGCGTAGAGAGGGGGCAGCGCGGCCCTGGGGCTCCTGGCTCTCACATACTGTGGAAAGAGATGGGCAGAGAGAGCGAGACCCTAAGACCCTGTGTCAGGATGGCACAGGACCAGAAACTGGCAAGTCCAAGTTCTTGTAACGGGGGGGGGGGGGGGGGGGGGGTGCAGGAGGCCGCCGATCAATAATTCTCTGTCATCATTGATGTTTCTATCTCTCTCTCCCTCTCCCTTCCTCTCTGAAATCAATAAAAATATATTTTAAAAAAGACTTTAAACCCAGCAATACAATTTATTTTCTCCAAGATAAATGAGATTTTAGTAGGATTCTTAAAACTTAGACGATGAATGGTAAGCCTTCGGAAGAATGAGGCCTTCGTTTCTTTCAGGATCTTCGGCAGACCATTTAACGGTACCTAAAAGCAAAACCGAAATCCAAAACCAAACCCAAAGAAAAGATCTACGTTCCCTCCCGGGCCGATGTTCATGATGCTCTGATTTCTTCATGTTTAGGATTTCCGGCTCTTCTACGATTGCTGTGACCTGCCTAGGTATGATAAGCTTGTGGGAAAATTGCTATTTTCCCATCAAGAACAGGTACTAACTATAAACCTAGCAATCTTGGTCATCGTTTCTTTCAACACCCATTATATTTTTTATTGCTTTAAGGCTTTTCTTCTTCAGCCCAATTCCCTTGCAACTTCTCTGCAAGTTCTTATTTAATACACGATTTTCGGCTCAGTTCCTTTTGGCAGTTGGACGTCTCCCTGAGGTTGTCCAGGGGCACCTATTTCCCAAACGAACTAAAGTGTGTTGCCTGAGAAACCCACCCTGGGCTGTTTACACGTGGACATGACCCCTTTTCAACTCTGAGGGTGAATCTCGTGTGGCAAGAGCTTTTACTCTTGTGACATCTCTCTCCTCCTTCCCCAACTCTACTCTGTTGCTTTTTAAAATATTTATTTTATTGATTTCAGAGAGAGAAAGGGAGAGGAAAAGAGATATAGAAACATCAGTGATGAGAGAAAATCATTGATTGGTTGCCTCCTGCACACCCCACACTGTGGATCAAGCCCACAACCCGGGCAATGTGCCCTGACGGGGAATTGAACTGTGACCTCCTGGTGCTCAACCACTGAGCCATGACCGTCGGGCCTCTGTTGCTATTTTTAATTCTGGATTAAGTCTGAGTTTTGGCCAAGTCTGATTCTGGTTCTTGCTCTTATTTGTAGAGGGCCACTTACATCCGTGCTGGTGACAACAGTCCGTGAATCTGGTTTTATGGTTTGACTGTCTGGTGGTCGCTATTGGGAGATGGGTAATAGGAATTTATTTTCTGTTGGGGGCCAGACAATGGGAATTTGATTGTATTTTGTATTTTTCCTTCTTTCTTTTTCCATCTGTGTGTCTTGAGGATTCTGATATCTCCTGGGAGGCTCACTATTGTTGTCTTGCATGTCATTATGAATTTAAATCACTTAAAAATTTGTCTGCGTGTGTGTATGTGACACCTGGAAAATAACCTGTAAGATTAGGAGCTCAATGATGCATAGATTTTATGCTGTAATTAAAGCAGTAAAACCAAAGCCATTAGTTCTTTTTGTCTTTATGTATATAAATGAAAAACAATTATCTGATTACAATATAATGTATCTGTGGGCAAGTCCCTTTCTCCCCACTCCACTATGGGAAATTTATGGAGTGTGACTAGAAATAAATTCATGGGTGAAGGCTCATATCCTTACCAAATGGGTCTGAGTCAGAATTTCACTGTATTCTTTTATTTCAGAAATATATGATTTGAAAATAACTTTTTCTTCTGAATATATCTCATATCCTCATGAAAAGATGATAGACTTGTGCAAACTAAGATTAAACATTCTTTGAATGATATATTATTCCAACTGAAACCTCAGAATTTAAAAAAAATTCCATAAAAAGTCCTGATATTGGTTATAAACTAACAAATCCTCAGAAAAAAACACAAAGAATTATTTTGCCAAATAATAGCATATATAGGACCTGCTTACAATGATGATTAAATATTTACAAAGTGATTTTAAGGAGAAACCAAGATGGCGGCATAGGTAAACACCGGAGATTGCTGCCTCATACAACCACTTCAAAAATACAATTAAAAGACATCATCCAGAACCACAGGAAGGCTGGCTGAGTGGAAATTCTACAACTAGAAGGAAAGAGAAAAGCATACCGAGACTCAGAGGAGGCGCGGTGCAGAAGTAAAATACAAAGGTGCGGAGGTGCATGCGGAGAGGGCTGGCAGCTGAGGACACGGTTGTCTTTTTCAATCGGGAGGGAATCTCAAGCTCTGAGCTCCAGTTCCGGGTGAGTCTCTGGGGACCCAGACTCATACAAGAGAAACAGGACTGTCTGGCATCGGTCGGAACTCAAGGGCAGCTTTCTCTGGGAGGTGCTCGCAGCAATTGCCGGAACACTGAGAAGCGGGGCCTCTGAGGGCAGGACTGAGAGCAGCCATAACTGCTCGATCCACCCTGTTGATCCCCTGGCACCCGCTCAAGCCATGCACGGAGGCTTTTGCATATGAAAGGCCTGGCCCTTTGCAATCTGAAAATTACTTAACAATCTGCAGCTGCTCCAAGGCCCCAGGACAACTTGCATTGCTTCACAGCTGGCTTCTTCTGGGTAGTCTCAGGCAGAGGCTAGATTAGCACCTCCTTAGAGATCCAGGAGCCAGTGTGCCCAGTGGTCAGAGTGGGACCATCCAGATTGCAGCTCCTCAGATCCATAAAGGACACACTCAGGGGGCAGACTCAGTGAGCACCAAAGCCCCATCGAAGCAAGTCTTGCCCTGGAGGGGTGTCTCTAGCACAGAAGTTCTCCCACTGCAGACACAGCTGATTCTCACAGCCAATTGGCCTGGAGGTCAATCCCTCCCAGTGATACCTACAACAATCAAGGCTTAACTACAACAAGACTGTGCACAAAGACCACAAGGGGGTGCACCAAGAGTGTCTATCTCAGGTAATTGGGGAGGCTGAGCCACTGGGCCCTATAGGACACAGCACAGAAAGCCACTCTATCGACACAGCGAAGTATAAAAAATGCCGAGACAAAGAAACAGGACACAAATGACAGAAATGGAGGAAAGCAAACTACTGGATATAGAGTTCAAAACCACACTTTTAAGGTTTTTCAAGAATTTTCTAGAAACTGCTGATAAACTTAATGAGACCCTCAAGAAATCTAGTGAGACCCTCGAGGTTGTGATAAAGGGCCAACTAGATATTAAGCATACACTGACTGAAATAAAGAATATTATACAGACTCCCAACAGCAGACCAGAGGATCACAAGAATCAAGTCAAAGATTTGAAATACGAAGAAGCAAAAAACACCCAACTGGAAAAGCAAAATGAAAAAAGAATCCGAAAATACGAAGATAGTGTAAGGAGCCTCTGGGACAGCTTTAAGAGTACCAACATCCGAATTATAGGGGTGCAAGAAGAAGAAAGAGAGCAAGATATTGAAAACCTATTTGAAGAAATAATGACAGAAAACTTCCCCTACCTGGTGAAAGAAAGAGACTTACAAGTCCAGGAAGCGTAGAGAACCCCAAGCAAAAGGAATCCAAAGAGGACCACACCAAGACACATCATCATTAAAATGCCAAGAGCAAAAGACAAAGAGAGAATCTTAAAAGCAGCAAGAGAAAGACAGTCAATTACCTACAAGGGAGTACCCATAAGACTGTCAGCTGATTTCTCAACAGAAACTTTGCAGGCCAGAAGGGAGTGGCAAGAAATATTCAAAGTGATGAATAGCAAGAACCTACAACCAAGATTACTTTATCCAGCAAAGCTATCATTTAGAATTGAAGGTCAGATAAAGAGCTTCACAGATAAGGAAAAGCTGAAGGAGTTCATCATCACTAAACCAGTATTATATGAAATGCTGAAAGGTATCCTTTAAGAAGAGGAAGAAGAAGAAAAAGATAAAGATACAAATTATGAACAACAAATATGCATCTATCAACAAGTGAATCTAAAAATCAAGTGAATAAATAATCTGATGAACAGAATGAACTGGTGATTATAATAGAATCAGGGACATGGAAAGGGAGTGGACTGACTATTCTTGGGGGGGAAAGGGGTGTGGGAGATGCGGGAAGAGACTGGACAAAAATCGTGCACCTATGAATGAGGACAGTGGGGGGGGGGGTGAGGGCGGAGGGTGGGAGGGGAACTGGGTGAAGGGGAGCTATGGGGGGAAAAAAGAGGAACAACTGTAATAATCTGAACAATAAAGATTTAATTTAAAAAAACAAAAACAAAGTGACTTTAAGTTCCTGTTTCCATGACTATGCAGTATTTACATAATGCAAATACTACATAGTATTTACATAAGCTCAATAAAAATTTGTCTTTCTTCCTACCAGGATTCAATTAGAGAAAACAATTTATCAATAAATCAATAATAACATATCAAATATATAAATAAATTTGTGTTTATGCCAGAACTCTAATCCAATTAGGTGTGATAATCAATCCCACTATTACAAATCAAGGACAAGATAAGATAGACCAAAAAGACAAATATCGTATGACTCCACTTATATGAGGAAGCTAGAATAGGAAAATTCATAGAGACAGGAAGTAGAATGGTGGTTCTCAGGGGCTGGGGGAGGGTAGCATGGGGAGTTAGTGTTTAATGGGTACAGTTTCTGTTTGGGGATGGATGAAAAAGTTCTGGAAATAGATAGTAGTATTTACACAACATTGTGAATGTAATTGCCACTGAACTGTACACTTAAAATGGCAAAAAAAAATCCCCCCAAAGTAAACAAAAAACTTAAGTCAAAAGCTCAACTAGTCCTGGCTGGTGTGGCTCAGTTGGTTGGGTGTCTTCCCATGCACTGAGGGGTTGCGGGTTTGATTCCCCGTTAGGGCACATGCCTGGGTTTCAGGCTGGAGCCCAGGCAGGGGGCGTGCCAGAGGCAGCGGAGATCGGTGTTTCACTCTCGCATCGATGTTTCTCTCCCTCCCTCTCTCTTCCACTCTCTCTAAAAAAAAATACGCCTGGGAAAAATGAGTGACCCGCCCTAACTACCTTATGAACAATTGAGTGCTTGCTGCCCTGTTCGCTCATGATCTGGACTGAAGGGCAGCCCCGCCCTTCGGCTCATTTCACCTTCTTGCTTCTGGGCTCCGTAGGTAATAAACCCTGTGACTGTGGCCTCTGTGTAGGTATATTGAAACTGCGCCTTCAGTCAACATGACCCTGAGAGTTTCACTTCCCCAGGCGGGAGCTCGATATTGAAGGAACTACCTGCTGACCCCTCCTTCTCAGGTCCTACTCTGCATATTCGTAATTTCAACACGCCAGTTCCGGCTTCTCAACACAGTCCTTTGGCCCTTGACCCCAGTCCATGAACTGATGTGAACTCTAAAATACTACTGAGTCATCAAAGTCAATGCTGACACCAGGGACTTTACCAAACTTCCTGACAGGAACTGTGAGCCCCTGTAGCATCATGGGACACTCGTTTTGTTTACCGTACAATACAAGCTCTTTATGCCCTTACGTATCCATCAACCCATCTTGTAACACTTAGCTGGA